ATAAAAGTTCAGAGTCAACCACGCCTACCTAAAACGGCTCGTTCTAACACGCCCCCACATATCTACGTCACTATGTGGGAAGATTTGCATAACACCGCCCAAATGTTCACGCAAAGAAAGAAGGCGTAACTTTTATTCTCGCTGTAGTATTGTTGCTGCCGCCATGTCGTGAAGACGCTGTGTGCTGCGTTGTGAAAGCGAAACTACTTTGTTTGGTCTTCCAAAAGAGGACGATCTGTGCCTAGAGCTGATCTGTGCTGGTCGCTGAGGGAATACATCAACTTAGTGCTGCTCAGCTCACGCTTGCCCGCCGCCTCGGCTCACGCTTGCCCGCCGCCTCGGCTCACGCTAGCCCGCCGCCTCGGCTCACGCTAGCCCGCCTCCTCAGCTCACGCTTGCCCGCCGCCTCGGCTCACGCTGCATCATATGACCCCTTTAATTTATTTTCGACTGAAGAAAGAAAGACATGAACATCTTGGATGACATGGGGGTGAGTAAATTATCAGGAAATTTTTATTCTGGAAGTGAACTAATCCTTTAAGAGCAAATTTACAGGTAGCAAAAAAATTTTTTTGTAGATTCTAATTACAGCTAACGGCAAACAACATGCACAATCAGCATAAAGTTTTTAAATGAAATAAGCAGTAAATGAATTAATCCTTGTCACAGAACAGCCAGGTCAACACACCAGCCAATCCCAGCGCTCCCCCTCACCTGAATTCTAATCACACACACCTGCCACTCACTTGCACGCTCATGACACTGCCTTCTAAAGCACACACATCACCTCACTCCAGTGTCCGGTCTCGTTTACGCGTTAAGGACTCTACTTACTTTCCTACTTCTCCTACGGATACTCCAGGCTAGTTCTCCTGTGTCATTCCTATTCTTACCTCCTGTGATTCTCCAGCGTGTTGTCCTTGTCCTCCATCGTCCCTGTGCCTCTATCACCTACCAGCAAGTATTGACGTGTGTGTGAACCTCATTCCTCTCTCTGCCTTGACACGATCTCCTGGTCCTGTAAGACAAGATTGCCATTAGTATCCTCATCCACTCCGCATTAGTATCATTGCTCAGTTTACTCACCTCATTGCTTACTGTGCCTATGTTGTTGTCAATAAACATCCTGTTGCCGTCATCTGTGTTCTGGGTATATTTCTGTAACAATCAAAATAGAAGATATTTTTTCTAAACAACAGAAACAGAAAATGTCTCCAGTTACCTAATGTAACCTCCCTGAGAGGAGGGAACAAGACACTCATGGACATCAGTAATCTAATTATTTACCTTATTCTGACTACGGCAATATTATGATTAAGGTGTTTACATGAGTTGCTTTTAGAATATTCCTTTCATGTTCCCATTTTACATGTTATAGTACAAAAATCGATTAATGGCACACGTCATTACATTCCCACATGATGCCATCCGACATTCCCTCCAGAATTTCACGTATAAACATAGAGTTTGTCTTCGGTACTATACAGTTTTGGGTGTTTCATTATATTATATACATTCAAGTATCCTGTTGCAAAATGCGGCAAAAGTCCTACATGACGGTAATAGTGTGATTAAGGTGTGTACATGTCTATACTGCACTTCAATAATGCAACTAAAATAGGAATACTCCACATGTCTTAATTCGATTTGTTTACTTCGAATATAACTTTAGCTGGATTAAGGTAATCAAAAATCTCTGTTTACATTGTAGATTCTTAATCAGAGTATTGTCTTAATCGTGTTAATATAGGATTAATTTTGTCCAAGTACTCAGTGTGTCACTGAAGATGTCGCTTTGGGGTTATCCCCCCTTCCTCGAATCTACTAAAGCCTTATGAAATCTCGCGGGCGAGAATTCGCCCACCAATGGCATTCAAGCACATAAAATAGTGACGAGCTTCCCTGCACAATAAGGTGGCGCTGAACGCCATTGCCTCAGAATCTTTGGACTGAAGCAGCGTGCAGCTGACAAAGACTCTGAGCTATGTAACATGGCAGCGTACGCAGTGTCTCGTTCCCTCCTCTCAGGGAACCGAGGTTATGTTAGGTACCCGGAGACGTTCCCTGTCAAGTCGGTCTCTCGACATTGCGTCATCAAAGATGTCGCTTTGGGGATCTCATAAAATCCCACCATGTTGATAGAGAAGATCCAGAATGGCTGTAAGCAAAGCCGTTGAAAAGTACTTCACACAACGAGTACTTCACCCATGCCCTGAGTCTGAACACGGCAGACCGCTGCTTAGAGACAGAGGGCTGCTTGTCATGTGGCGGGAATTTTGTCTTCTGTACACGATAGACCACTGCACTACGACAGGGGGCTGTTTATATCATGTGAGTCAGTAGCGAACCATGACTCTTGAACCTAGGCCCTCTCCCCCTACCCTCGTCGTTACCAGCCTAACAAAGCACCAGCCTAGCTTACGGTGTCTTCTTTTAAAAGTCATCTTTGACAGTTCCACTTTTGAAACAAGAGGCTAATCCATCCTTAATCCGGTCTCACACCAGATGAGAAGCGTAGCGCTAGGGCTGGGTATCGAGTTCGATACTTTGTAGGCACCGACCGAATTTGGAGCAGTCTGCTCGTGGTACTGTAATACACCGATAGGTCTGCACAGTAGGTCTGCGTCACGTGCCACATTCAGAGATGTGGCTCACACGTGAGGATTTAGTGTGAATGCGTCCCAGCCCCTGTAGCTGTAACGCTACATTTACACTGGTGCGTTTTTGTCTTAAAATGAAAACGATCCTTGTCATACTGGCATTTCCACTGCGTTTCAAGCCGGCTTTCCACTATCTCCGACAAATGACAGACCGAAAGTCATTCATTTCCAATGGAGAGTAGCGCGGGAGCTGCGTAGAGTTCCAATCATATGCAGATGTCCATTCATACTACAAGACCGAAAGCGCGTGTTATGTGACCATTCATGCACACTGTAGCATCATAAGACCAGGGTTTAAATTGGGCCGGGCCGGGCCGTCTGGGGCTGAGCCCCGGCACATTGACTCCAGGACTTGACATTAACACTTCATTACCGCCAGACAAGTAACATGATTAAAACATCAGTAACCAAAAATAACTATGTAAACACCAAAACGCAATATTATTCTGATTTTATTACATTTAGAGTAAGTGGCGAATAGTG